AACGTTCCTACGCCTATGTGTACAAGTCATTACATCTGCCGCAAAAATATTATATAGTCTTCACCTATACGTGACATTACTTCTACTTGCAAATACTCATATACTACATCAGTGCAACAAAACAAAACTGATACCGCAAAAACATATACCAGTCATTACTTCCACGGCAAAGACTTGGCCATAAGCCTCTGCTGTAGCACTGATGTTACGTATAAGTCTTTGCAGCAGAAGTAATGTCGTATATAGGTAATCACTGCTTATGTTTTGGTAGAAGTAATGACGAGCATCAATTTTGATGCACAAGTTATGATGTTGCAATAATGTTGTGTAGCCATTGGTACTGGAAGGAATGTCGTTGCACTCCTGTCCGTAGGAGCTTTGTTGTAGCACTAATGGCGTGAAGCACATGCGAACGTTCCATCACGCATCAAACAGTGACGCGTTGAGGAGCATATATACCAAATAGTGAAGTTCTGTTGTCTGGAGCAGGTCGTTTTCACTTATGTATAGATATATAATATAAGTATAATGTATATATACTATATATATATATACATATAATGTAGTAAAATATAAGTGTGTATGATATAAGTAAGTAGATATGTATAAGTATCAAAGATAGTGCTAATATATATATAGTATATAATATATATATATATATATATATATATACATATACATATATATAATAAGCACCCCAGTGGTAGGTGAGCTTATTCTGTCATGTCTGATGCTTGCTTCGATATCTTTCAATGTGGAACAGTTCCTTCAAGGGAATGTCCCACCTTTGGGAATATTCCAAAACACGCACTCTAGTAAAACCTCAGAATCAGTTACGTTTAATAGTAGCGCTGGGTACTGCCACTGCGGCATCGTCAAGGCATAAGGATAATTATTTTAAATGTTTTCGAGTTCAAATTACGCTGTCAATTATTTGTAACAGCATTAGTACGCTTTTTGCCTGCAGTCGCAAACATTGTCGTCATGACAACCATTGTGCACACCTCTATGTGTGTTAATGAACTAACATTTGTGATTGACCCAGCGGCCAAGGGCCTGTCACCGTGAAGTTGTTTCGTTGAAGTTTAAACCAGTGCGTCACATGGATTATGTGATACTCCCATTCCCAGTCAAAGTGCGCCTAAAAAAGTGACTTTGATAAACGTCATAGGGAGAAATCAAAGTCATAGTACAGCGTTTCGTTGAATTCGCGGGAAAATATGTTAACATTCGCATAATTGGCGTTGGTGGGGGCCTCTGATAATGAAAATAAACTTAATAACAC